AGCAATGATTTTGGCTATGATTTTGTACAAAGTATTACAAAGGCCAATAGGTGTGAAATTTTTTAGATTATTTGCATTCTTAATCTTAGCGATTAGACAGATATAAGTGTCAATGGTTTCCGGAGGAAGAGTTTTATTTTTGAAAGTTTGATAACAACTTTTGATCACCGACGGCCCGACAATGCTCCAATATTTCTGGTAAAAGAAAGGATGGATGTCATCCGGCCCTGGAGCCTTAAAAGGCTTAAAAGAGAATACAGCATTGGTGATTTCACTAGGCAGCAGGGGGTTTTCCAAACTGTTGAGATTTTCTTTATTAAGGAAAGGTGATTTTATTGTAAAATCAGCCCAGGAGGTAGAATCATGTGAGGTGGTGAAGGCATTTTTGAAGAATTGAGTAGTATGATTAAGGAGATCTATTGGATTGTCAATTCAGTTGCCTAGATCATCTTTATAGTAAATAATCTTATTCCTCCTCCTATTATTGGTAGCCGTAATATGAAAGAACCTGGTGTTGGCATCTCCTTCCTGGACCCAAGAAGCTCTGGCCCTTAATTTCCAGTAGTCGTCTTCAATTTTTAGCTGATTGTTGAAATCATTTTGAAGCGACCGTTCTAAATTTTGAAGGAAAATACTATTGTGATAATTCGGGGATTCTTGGATGCCTTTTAATCTAGCAAGGATTCTATTTTTGTCCTTGCGGATATTACCAAAGATATTATTGCTCCATTCTTTGACCCTATTAGTAATGTTTTTGGATGAATCCTGATAGTCTTTACCTTTCCAGTTTTCTTTAACTAGGTTTTGGAAGCTAGGGTGTCTACACCATAAAGATTCTAACCTAAAAGGTTTTGGGAGTCTGTTAGTAGGGTTAGACGTTAGTTGCAGTAATAGGGGATTATGATCAGAATGCGTTTTAGGAAGATGAGTGACTGAGGCATTTGGAAAAGCACTGATCCAATCACTGTTAGCTAAAATTTTGTCTAACCTTTCCATAATGAGACCTTTGTTTTTCCTTCTACGGTTGGACCAAGTGAATCTACAACCTTTGAAACCTAAGTCGGAGAGGCCACATTTATTTATACAATTCCAAAGGAATTTGGTGCGTCTGTTATTAACCAAGTTGCCACCTAATTTTTCATTAGAGTCAAGGACATAGTTGAAACCCCCCCCCCCCCCACTAACCAGGGACCTTTAAAATGATCATGTAAGCTAATAAGGTTATCCCAAAGATGATTTCTGTCTTTCACTTTATTACTAGCATATATAGAGGTAAATAACCAAGTGATGTTAGTAGGAATTACCTCTATGGTAGCACTGATTTCCTGGTTCCTTCTAACAAAGCTGTGCACATTAACCACAGTGTGATTCCAAAGAATTACCATGCCCCCTGGTTGACCATTAGCAGGGATTTCGATCATATCAGTGAAACCAAACGGGTTGAGGAGAGCCATGTGGTTATCCATACGTGTTTCCAGTAGAGTAACCATGCTAGGTTTGTGAGTATCGATCATCTCCCTAAAGTGGAGCCTGAAAGTGTCACTTATTCCCCCTCAGATATTCCAGATAATAAAAGAAATTGGCCTATTCATGTTCAGATTCCAGTTGTGGAGATCCCCGTTCTCCAGAATTCGTGGGGCATGAATTGGGTTCCTTCTCAGAAAGGGTACGAGGATCATTGCATGTTGTCCTACGGATGGATCGGCAGGTGGACGAATATCCATCGTGCATTTGTAAAGGGCTAAGGGACACTTGAGAATTTGCCTCTGTTCCTGCCTCTCCAAGAAGATGAAGACTTTTACGTCTTCTAGATTTGAACTGTCGATTATTAGTTCTGGCACTAAGTTAAGAGGCTCCACTGCTTCTTCCATCATGGCTTCTTGTGGGTGAGAACCTGGCTGAGCATGGGACTGTAGGGTCGGCTGGTGGTGAGAGGTGGTTGCATTGTGGACATTGGGAGTTGGATTTTGTGTTGTATGTGTGTCCCAAGGGGTGAAAATTGGGGAGGTGGCTATCTCTGGTGTGAAGAAAGGGAGATTCGTTACTGGCATGGCTGACTGGAGAGGGACAAAGTGGGGGGGGGCATAAGCCATTCCCCCATCATCATCTGGTTTGCATGAGGGGGAAGATTTGGTGCAATTGGTTGCAGGATGTTGTTCAACCAGATGTGATTCAGGTAGTTGTTCATAGAGAGACGGATCCCTTCTGATATCAGCTGTGCAAGATAGTGTGAGTTGTGGAGAACAATTATTGTTTCCCTCCCGTTCAGCATGATAGTGAAGGATAGGGCTTGGCCCATCAGACCCAGTTCCACCCATGACTGTGGCTGGTGGTTTTCCGGCATGGGTGGTTGAATTAGGATTGTTGGAGGATGAGATGGAGGTTGAGACGGAGGTTGATTTGGGTTGGATTGTTCTGCCATGTTTTGTTGGAGACGGAGTAATTGGATCAACTGTAACGTCTCCTGCTGGTTAATGGTGTCCTGTTTGGTAATGGAAGTCTGGGCATTGTGTGGAAGAAGAAACTCAGTATTAGAAGGAGTGTTTTTCCCTTGGGAATGCACAGGATCAGTATCAATGATTATGAAATCTTTTTGCATGTTAATAGGTTGGGATAGCGTAATGGGTTTATTAGAATGCAGGACAGATTGTTGTTGGGCAACGTGTTCATTGGCTTTGTCCATTTGGCTGTTTGGGGTTTCATTGGATGACAAGTGGGAATTTGTTTTCATACTGCCCTTATAGTTAAGGGTATCCGTAGGTGTGGTAGGGGGATTATTACCCTCATAGGTTCCCTTGGGGTAGGGGGTAAGAGGGGGTGCCTTAGGTAAAGAAATAACATTAGTATTATTTTTATTTTTTTCAGAGTTAATATTATTAGCAAAATTAGGATTAGTAGCTATAATCATATCGTCAGTAGTGTTTCCACACGAGGGATTAGGGATAGCACGCCTATTAGTGATATTTTGTACAGATGCTTTAGGCAAAAATTCTGATTGGATTATGGGATTATCCAAAACCACGTTCTGTGATGAGAGAGAGGAGAATTGGTTTTGAATAGTGTTTGTCATTGGTAGATGCATCTGATCTTGTTGGTATGAGAGAATTGATTTCTGTCCGTAATTTTTACACCATTTTACTGTAATAGGGTTTTGCTTTGTAATTAAAGACTTGAGTTGTAAGAAATTTACCTGTAGAAGCTTCATAGATATTAACGTTTATACCTGATCTCGGAGTAGGTTCCTTAATCTGAGTTGGTTTTCTTGTAACTTTCTTGAAGGAGGCAGTTTGCCATTCTTCTGTTGTTGCAAGATCTTCCGCTGGAGGTCCTTGTTGGTTGCTTTGGTGATTTCCCTTTTGTTCTTCCTGCAAATTGTTATCCAGTAGGTTGTGCTGTTGTTCTTTTTTCCCTTTTGATGTTTGGGCTTCTAACTGAGTGTTAATTTTGATGCATTGGCTAGATGGGTGACCTAAGATGCCACTGCTCAGACAGAGAAGCTTTTCTCCTTCATAAAGGATCTGTTGTTTATGAGTGCCAATCCAAACAAATGGTTTAACTTGTTTGTTTAATGGTAGTTCTACACAGATCCTAGCGTACCGACCTCTAAGCGCTGCAGAAGTACATGCATCCACTTTAAGAAGACGACCTATTTTGTTCCCCACTTTAGAGAGGATCTTTCATCGTAAAACTCTGTAGGCAGTTCAGGTAATCGAACCCATAGTGCAGTTAGGGTTTGCTTAGCTCTGGATGGTACGAAATTGGGCTCCCATCGATGAACCATGGACCTTTTTGTAGGGCTGTAACCATGTTTTCTTCTTTGTTGAACTTGACGGTATAGTAGCCTTCTCCCAGATCGATGAGGGGAAAAGCTTCAGAGGCTTTCCAAAGTTTCATTATTTTTCGTTTTAGTACTTGGTGAAGTATTTTCTTCTCTTGTAGTTTGATTATTACAGAGAATCTCCATGGGTAGTAAATTCGTTGCTTGTCTTCTCCACTTATTAGGACTGTGCTGGTATTTTCTTGTTCAGTTGGTAATTCTCCAAGATCCATCTCGATGGGGTCACTGGTCGTAGATAGTAGATAGGGTGGTGATGGAGATAATGAAAGGTTTTTTTCATGTTGATTGATCAGCAACTTTTCCTTAAACGAGAGGGGAGAAGTTGATGAGTCAGGTGTAGTATCAGGTGGCTTTGGGGGGAGTTCCCTCTTGAATGTTGTGACTGTTCATTGCAGACTCCTAGGAATTTTAATGCGGCAGTATAGATTAGCCCTCTATGTGTCTATCTCAGTGTTGGTCCGGATCTCTTATAGAGTAGGATATTTAAGGAGAGTATATTTACCCTTGTTGCAACGGATCTTTTCGTCGCTAGGTATTAAAAAAAAAATTGCGTCCAAATAAGGTTTGCTGCTATTTTTACCTTTGCTTGTCATAAGATCAAAACATAGCGAGATTTTTAAAAAATAGTCAGATTTACAACTGGTCGTTCAAAAATAGCCCAATTTCAAAAGTAATCGAAATTTAACCACTTTTTATGTAAAGATAAATTTGAGCGAAAACAATGTTCAAAACCCGGAAAATACTCCAGTATATTATACTAGAGTTCCAGCATAAGTATACTTGAATTCCATCATATTATACTGGAGTTTCAGGATAGTATGCTGGAACTCCAGCATAATATGATGGAGTTCCAGCATATATACACTAGAACTCCAGCATAATATACTGGAGTTTCATCAAGTATAATGGTCCAGTATAATATACTGGAGTTTGGAGCACCAGTGCTCCAGTCTCCAATATATTATAGTGGAGCCAGCAAAGTATACCGGTCCAGCATAATATGCTGGAGTTCATACACAAGTGCACCGAACTCCAGTATATTATGCTGGACCGGTCTCTATTGCAGCAAAACGGTGGCTATTTTTCATTGACTTGGTAAATGCTGTCTAGTTTTGATTGACCAGTCCGAAAACTGGCTATACCGTAAAATTTTGGCCAAAACATAAGTTCTCCCTCACAGAAGAATACAAGTAACGAGCCCATTTCCTCCTCCTTCTTTTCTCCTCCTCTAATCTTTCACTAATCTTGCACTAATATTCCCACATGGGCTACTAGTTCATCTCTTTTCTAAAAGACTGGTATGTTTATACTTCTTTCTCCGTTTATTAGCAAATTTTCTACACTAAATTTTTTAGGGTTTTGGTAGATGTAAAATAAATCAAGCATTTCGCTTCTTCCCTCTTTTTCTTTGTAGTATGTGAAGTCAAATATGAAGTAGGAGTTGACATATTCTGGGTATGTCTCATTGTGCATAAATATGTAATATTTTTATTACTTTTTGTTGCTAAAATCTGATTTGGGGATTTTTTTTTTGTTGAACTCTTGATTAATTCCAATTTTGGTGATATTTGGTGATTAAAATCAAAATGAAGTGTCTTGAGACCTGTGTAGCCTTCACTCACCAGTTGTTGTCAGTTTGGTGAAACCCACCCAATTCATTCTTGTTCCTTAAGCTAAATTATTTCAGATCCTTTTACTTTTCTACTCAATTATATACCCACCAAATGTTTGTATCTTTTCCTAGACCTCTCTGTTGTCATTGCTTGAGCTAAAACTTATTGGGTAATACTATTTGGAGTTTAAAGTTTATTTTAATCCATGTTTGAAAGGGGAAGCTTGAATAACTTAATAATCCTCATACTTTGTGTTTGAGAATTTCAATTTCAATTTTTGATTTTTTTTTGTGTGAAGCAAATAGATTAACAAAGTGGTACTCAATAATGATATTACATAATTCAATCTAAGAAAGTTAAAAAATGGAGTTGCCAAAATTATCTTCGCTAAGTAATCGCATTCGAAAAAACGAGATCTTTTTTTGTTGTACTGTTGGCCGCGTAGATGCAAGCATAGTGAATCCAATTGTGATGCCTTAATTCTATTTTGCCCACCTCCAACTACTTTTTCTTTGATGGTGTATGTCATAGGAGAATCCATGTAATGAATAGTAAGTGAAATCTAATTGATATTTTCCTATCATCTTTTCTTCTTTTCTTTTCAATCAAACGCAACATGAGTTACGGTGGGTACATTCTGAGGAATCACATTCTTNAGAAACTTGAGTTATTTTCTTTTGATAACCGAGAATGTAACCTTAATGTTAGTTTTGTCACTTGATGCGTAAAAAAGAACATCTATGAATAGTTTATTTGTGTGATGTTTCTGGTTGAAAGCCTGTAAGCAATTGGCTAAAAGTGAAATTAACATATTGTCCAGCAGAAGTATATGGCAAAGTTTTTGCTTCTTTCAACTAGAGTTATGAAATTTGAGAAACTTAAGCTTATAGAACGTGATAAGAAAACTCTGGTTGCTCGTGGCATTGTAAATTCATCCACCCTTTTTTTCCTCCATATGTCATGTGGTACTAACTATATATACTCTACTGCTTTGTCCCTGTTTTGTTGCGTCGTTTCCATGTCATGTGTGTTATTCCATTTCCCAATTGAAATACATCCCAATGGTCCTTGTGAGTCCTGGTATGTCTTAATATTATAACAAAAAAGCCTGATCCCTACGAATTCATTATCTCTGGTGGTTGCGATGAGATTTTCACGTCGATACACATGCCCTTTTTGGTGATTATTTCGTGTGATCTCCCGCAAATATCAAGTAAACTTACTGTATGGCACCATTCATACCAATAGTGAATAACTCTCGTAAATGAGTCAAGGAAGTTTCTAGGCAGTGTTCTCCTGTAATTCCCTTCTTTTGTGTCCCTTTTTTGTAGCCTCATGTGACTGGTGATGACAAAGACCCTATTAAAAAAACTGGGCAGCCATATCTTGTTAATACATTGTTGTATCTCCTCTTTGTGTTGCATCACATATAAGTTAATATTGACATTTCGATTATCGAATGTCAACACAACAGCTGCAGCTCCTAGTACTTTTAATGTCATCCTTGTTTTTTGTATTTTTATTTTCTATTTCCTTGAAATATGAGTTGTGTAGATTTTTGCATCTGTACTTTGTGGTTCTTCATACTACAAAATAAATCTATGTGGTGTTCTTTTGCATCCGTTTGACTAAAATTATTTTTTCTCAGCTTCATTTCAAGAAAAGGAACAAAACGACTCAAAGATTTCTGATGGATTAGTTAAGGTATTGGTATCTTTATATTAACTTATACATAGGCCTAAATTTATTTTATTTGGCATATATTTTACTGTCACTCTCTCTCTCTCTCTCTCTCTCTCTCTCTGTGTGTGTGTGTGTCTCTCTCCCCCATTCTTTTCTTGTTATTCTTAGCGCATTATTAAAATGAAATGTGAATGTTATTTAGAATTTTTTCTTTTTCACAAATGGTTAATCTTATATATAGTCACAACTAGGGATGCAAGATAATTTTTAATTGTCTAAAAATATTCACATAGCTTACATTAGCTTTCTGATGTATTTGAGATTGTTTATATATAGTGATTGCTAGGGATTTATTTGTGGTGTTTTGATGTACATTATCTTTCTGATGTGTTTGCGATCTATTTAATCTTACATTTGCTTCTAGATGTATCTTTGATGTTCTTTTTCTTTAATCATTTATTGGTTATAAAATAAAAAGTCACTTTACTGCTTGCTATTTTTTCAATCTGCTTATCACTATTTTTTTTTAGATATGACTCGAGGCAGAGGTCGAGGTAGTGCAGGTCGTATAAACAAGTCCGCTGCTAGGGGTAATTCAGCTACTCATAGGAACATTCCTACTATTCCCATTCCAACAATTAGTCATCAACAAGGTGATACGAGTTCCTCAAGTCGGCCAAGTCATATTAATCAAGTTCAAATATTAGGTCCTAGTAGTACACCTCCAATTCAAACATCGGGTAATAGTAGTCTTGGCCAGCGAACTCTTGTTTTTCTTTCTTCTACAGGGTTAGTCCAAGCTTCTACTATTTTTTAATATACTGTTATTTATTTATGATAAGCATTCAAGCAATGTCTTCAATTTGTCCAGGATAGAACCTTCTAGATTATGCTCTGAGTATACATTTGAAAATTTCAAGCATGAACTTCATCCTAATGGAATCAATTGGAAAGGTGTCCCAAAAGAGACAAGAGAATTTTACTTTGGAGAATTCAAGGTATGACATTCCATCAAATTGATTTTACATAGTGTATTAACTTTTATAGATAATATACTAATGTTACTACTTTACAAAATTACTTCAGAAGGAATTCTATTGGGATTCTTTGATTGATAGAGAAGTGAAGCGACTGTGGGAAAGTAAGGCAGCGAGAACTTCATCAACCAGATTTTGTTCCAGAAAATGTGTGGGACAATTGGATGAAACTATGGAAGGATCCTAAGTGTGTCAAAAAATCAGAAATAAATGCAAAAAATCATTGTGACGGTGGGACCGATGTCGCCATTGGGACTCACACGGGCGGCTCTGTCACCATTGGGGAACATCGCAAGAGACTTGTAAGTATATCCTTCGTAAGGGGTAATCACTAGAATTTACACATTTCAACTTTCTTAATAGGTTGATCCCCTGTTGTTCTTGTGGTTTGAGCAATGTTTCAACTTGGTATTGTTTTTGGCTGTTTCCATTAATTGACATCTCTATAATAGGTGGTTGCATTAAAAGGAAATCAACATAGGAGTGTCTTCTTCATGATTTCACATGAGCCAATTATTATTGTACACAAAACAGGAGTTCTTGAACTAGTTCTCATGATCACTGTCCTAATGGATAAGGATTCAAATAGTGTGCTTTCTTTGTATCACATAGATCTATTTCTCACATGACCTCAAGAATTCATATAAAGAAAGAATAGCTGAACAAAACATTTGTCACAATGCTAAATTAAATTGCAAATGATTTTTCAGAAATCTAATGCTCGGTGCTTACCTTTCACCTTTGTGCTAGTCTTGTCTGCTTTCTGAGTGGTTATTCTAAGGATGAATTAAAATGATTGTTTCAGTGGAAACTTCTCTTAGTTTCTTCAGTTTGGTAAATATATTGGGGTTGTATGGGCATCATGGTAAGACTAAATCATTTGAAAAAACTGGATTTGGATTTCCTGGATATGCTGGGAAGTATGTAATCTGAAAATTATTGTTGGGGCTATTCTTCTTGTTCTTGTACTGTTGTATACCTTCTTGGTACCTCAACTAGTAAACTGTTTCACCTTATCAAAAAAAATTAAATTCTTTGTTTTTTGTATAGGCTATTGAAAAGGGTCGAGATCCAACACCAAGTGAGCTACATTTGCACGTCCATACACATGGTCATGATGAAAAATCTTTTGTTAGTGAGCGATCCCGACTTGTACATGTAAGTTCAAAATCCTATAATTTTATTGAGATTCAATTCTGTAGACAAAGAAATGGGTCGTCTAAGTCTTCTTATGGCAGTAGTGTTATTCATAATAATGTTCACTAATTATTATGGTATTTACAGGAAAAATATCAACAAATATTACAACAACAAACACAAACTCAATCTGATATTGATCAATCTCTAGCATTTTATCAAGCCGCGGGAGGGGAAAAGAAGAGAAGAATATATGGTCTTATTTTTATGGGCCAAATCTTCGTGCCTCTTCTGGATCGGGTGCTTCATCATCAACAACACCTCCGAATGCTCAGTCAGCATCAATGGCGAATTTGGATGAGCTAGTGATGCGATTGATTCCTGCATTGATTGATCATATGGTTCCTGTACTGACTAATCACATGCTTCCTGTGTTGGCTGAGCGAGTAAGAGGATTGATAGCTTCACCATCACATCTGCAAGATAATCATACTGATCACCCATCAGATTTGGTACCTCCAGTTCCTCCTAATATTAACGAGGTTCATGCACCGCTCTCTGATGATGACCTTCACTCTCCAGTCTCTCAGTAGTTAACTATTTTCATTTGAACTTTATTTTGGTATTGTAGATGTTTTGGTATTAATGAGGTTCATGCATCGCTTTCTGATGATGACCTTCACTCTCTCGTCACTCAGTAATTAACTATTTTTGTGTGAACTTTATTTAGTATTGTAAATGTTTTTTAACTTAATTATGCACTTGCATTTTGCTATTTAATTTGGATCATGTAGAATATTAATTTCTATGAATTTCATTTATTATTAAGAGTATTTTATATATGCTTGAGCAATATATATTTTATTAAATCAAATAAGAAAAATATAATTTGCGACGAATTTTCGTCGTAGCTATAACTAATATAGAATAACAGGTTGCGACGGATTTGCGACAAAATAAATTCGTTGCCACAAGAAAGGAAAATATGTCTCAATAACATTAGCGACGGATTAGAGGCAGAAAAAATTCGTCGCCAATTAATTCCGACGACGAAATGACTTGTCGATTTGGCGACGAAATTGATGATATTTGCGATGGATATGTGTTGTCGCTAAGAGTAGCAACAGATACGAACCGTAGCTAATTTGTCGCTACCTTACCAACAGATTCAATTTTTTTCATTAGTGAGTGGTTAGCTACGAGCAAAGTAGCGACGGATACAAATCTGTCGCTATTCCATTGCTAAACCTGTTTAGCGACGGAAATACACTATTTAGCTACGGAATTCGTCCGTCGCTAAAGCTGATTTATTATGTAGTGAGATAGATATAGATAAATAGATATAGATATAGATAAATATATAAATATAAATATAGATAGACAGATATAGATGTGGATATAGATATAAAGATAGATATATGATTCTATTTATTTATTGCCCAGTAAATGTTTATAACTAAAATATTCTTTATATATATTGCCCAAATCTACTCTTAATTTCTCTTTCTGTAGTACCAAAAAGAAGCTTGACCAAGCAGGCTATAAATCTTAGTTCTTCCTCCCATGAGAAGTATAATTGAATTTGTGTTAGTCCGTATTACGCCTAATTAAAGACATGAATCTTGCAGCTTCATCCAAGATTGGGCTTATAACCTTCCTCTTGATAGTTTTTGTTGGTTAGTCTCTAATATCTTTTACCTCCCATCTCATATACTGTATGTTTTATCTCTTCTTTCCTTTTTTCAAAATCATAAACATATATTTACAGTGATAATCTCGGTTAAACTCTCTTTTTCTAATTTATTTTCTGTAATCATTCATCCTTTGCAACTTACTTACTTGATTAATTCATATTCACATGTGAAAAGTCAGTAGTGCTCCCTACCAAACTCATCGCACATATGTTTTATCAAAAAAAAATTTGTTTCAGAAACATAAACGTTTTCAAGATTTGATGATTTTAGTTAATATCGTTTTATTGTATAACAGTCTCGTTATTTGAAATTCACCGCTTCGAACTAATTCAAATTGCAAAGTAAATAACAATCATGGGGTTGACAAGTCTCAATCAAAAAAGACTATACGAAAACTCTGGTTACGGGAGTGTTTAACCAAAAATTAGATTTTAGGTTAAAGTTCGAATTTAGAAGAACTCGGGTTACTGATAATCGGAAAAGTATATAAGAAAGAAATTTTGAATGATATAATCAGAAAGCAAATAAAACAAAGTATATTCCAGTAGTGCTTTTTTTTCCTTTACAGATGTTGTGACTTTCTCTTTTTATAGTTAATTTTTAAGAGAAAGTGTAATGCCTTGGCTTTAATGAGGCAATTACGAGCAATAAATGATATTGAAAGAAACATTACTCAATCATTCATATTAAATAAAAATTCTCTAACGTATTTGGCATTTAATGCTGTATTTGGACTCTTTTTCGCTATCAGATTCATGTCTCCAATTCCTTCTGATCTTCGAACCTTAAATGACTCGAACATGTACGAGTCTCGTTTCATTTGAATAATAGCTCGTGCCTTCAAGTATCTTCTCTCCCGCATCTGTTGTTGCCCGTGCCTTCTAACTGATTACCACGTTTTGACTATTCGACCGGTCCACGTGTCATGACACGTCATCTTCAATATTTAAATTCAGTTTTTTCCCAATACAGATAGTCCCCCCACTTTCCATTTATTTATCAATTAAATATTTGGGAAGTGGATCTTTCATTAAAAAGGGAATTTTTGCCATAATCAATGCTATGACAGTACTAACGCTTCAGTTGTCTTTTCTATTTGATGCATTGCATACGTGTCACCCTCTCATTAGCTTTGCAATTTTTGCAGCCTTTTTCCAAGGCTTCTTCAACTCCTCCATTCACGAAGTCATAGTTGCCTTTATTATAGGCTTTCCATCATTACACTTCTTAGTCTTTAACGGTCGCTTTTATATAAACTTAACCCTTCTTCCACAAATTTTTACCACATAAAACTTTTTCCTTGAACGCTCGAATTGTGCGAATCTCTATTTACTTCTTTCTCTTCTTCATCATGTCTTCTTCGAATCCTAACCCTAAGAGAGTTCCTATCTTAGACAATTTTCCCGATGCTCCTGTCAGACATAGAAGAGGTGGGAGACTTCGTAGTTTAGGATCCTCTCGTGGTGGTGGTTCTGCCATGCCTTCTCCTAGCCCTGGTTCTTCCTCTAGAACTAGAGGTTCTTTTTCTCAAAAATCATCTTCTAAGAGCAAGGAGGCCTCTGAACCAATACAGGAACCCTTGGTAGAAGAAATAATTCCTAACAATTTATCTTTTCAG